CCTACTACCTGGGCCGCTGAGGTCAGAGGACTGGAAGCCTGGAGGACACTTTAAATAGGCCATTGACAAAACGGAATGCAGAGCGGGAAGGATCACAAAGCGGTGCTTTTGAAGTATAGGGAAGGAACTTGATCAGAGAGGGGATGGGAGGTGGGCAGCCAGCCTCCTGGTTGTCTTGTAGAGAAGAGAACCAGCCTTTTCTTCGGGGTCTAGATCGCAGCACTAGTAGCACAGGTGAAAGTTGTAGGGAGGCCAGTTTTGTTATTTCACAATGAAGCTCTCTGAGAGGTAAAGCCATCTGAGAACAGAATGGAGTAGTGAGCTTCCTGCCTCTGAAGGTGTTCAAACAGGGACAGACAGGGCACTTGGGATGCTGCTGAGGAGATTTCTGCATTAAGTAGGGTTTGCATTGGATGACTTGGGGGAGTCCGTTCCAACTCAGAGAGTTTTTCAAGAGCTATGGACTTGAATCGGGGTCCTGAACTGGGTCCTTATGTCACTGGATTTTCCTGTCCTCTGAGACTGCTTTGGTGCTTGACCCTGCCCACCCCCACCCTTAATGCCCCTTGCATTCACTGGTGACTTTTCACCTTCTACATGTGGCCAGAATTCTCTCCTTAGCCCACAGCTTCCTGAATAGCATTACACTTGGCCTCCAACCAGGTCTCTTTCCTGTCTTGAGCACAGGCCACCCAGGAAACAGTCCTCTTCCTCTAGCTCAAGCCCAGGCCTGCCAGCTCTCTGGAACACCAAGTTCTTCTGAGCCCAGCCTTCCCTGGTGCTCCTCCATCACCATCCAGTACCAGCTCCTTTTCCTGCTCAGACATAAGCAGCGGCTCCTATTTCTGCTCAGCTAGACAGTGCTGCAGCTCCCAGATTGAGGCAGATACTGCTGAGGGCATGATGGATGAATCCATAGTGCCTAGGGTCCAGGCCCCCCACCCCCCATGTAGTCACTGACCTGGAGGTGTGAGTCCTTTGGAAAAGGGGATGTGGCCAAGTTAGACTGGCAGAGAGGTGACCAGCAGATCAGCAGGGGTCTTCAGGGGGCACAGGTCCTGGGCGCTGGTGATCCCTGGTCAGCCAGTTGTTACCTCTCTTTCTTCTTTCCCAGGTGTCAGGGAATTGTGGCTGCTGGGAATCCCTTATAAACAAGTGCTCACACTCCAGTGCTTACAGAGTCATGGGATTGATTTCTTTTGGTGTCAGGAAAGTTGGACCACTGTGCTCTGCCAGGGAGCCTCTGGTCTGGGCTCTCTGGTGCAGACCACATTGGAGTCTTGGTAACATTCCCATCTTCTCCAAATCCTTGATTCCAGAAGGCATCTGCTTAGCTGGAAAGGGTTCTAAGCTTTACTTTTTGTTAAAAACTAAAAAGCAAAACCACAAAACTTTGCCCATTCTCGCCTCTTCTCGATCAGCAAGGGGTACCCTGGTGAGTTTCCTCATTTATAAGACACCAGCTGGTGGCAAAGGGTGGGGGGAATTGTCCCCAGATTGGCAGAACACTGAGCTGGGTCATGATCTCTCTATGATCTGATGATGGCTGCACACTGGGAATGGGGATGATGTGACAGACATTCTTCCTTGTCAACCAGGACATTCTTAGGAAGAAGATAAGACACCCAAATGCTTTGGGCTCCTGTTGACTGAGAGAAGGGTGTGTATGCTGCAGACCATGTCCTCCTCTTCATCCACATCTGGCCTACCACCAAGGTTCACAGCCCTGTAGAGCATGATCGCTTCTCCCCAGGCAGTGTGAGCAGGCCATTCTCCCCACCTTCCTGGGCTTTTGGTGAAATGTTAAAGATCTGTGTTGGACAAGTTCCTTGCATCTGAAATACTTATTTTATCTCACCTGGACTAATATCCTGAGAACGCAATCTCCAAGCCCTCTGCTTTCCCAATGGTCCCTTCAGCCCAGGTCCACGCAGTGTCAGAGAATCTTCAAGCCAGATGGAACTTGGGGAGCTGTAACTGCATATTATGTCACCTGGGAAGCTTGTTAAATTGGACATACTGTTTTCAGAGGTCTTGGGTGGGACTGAAAGGGGTTGCATGCATTAACAAGCTTACTGGGGGGATGGATGTTGTGGTCATTTTACAGATGTGAAAGCTGAGGCCAGAAAGCTTCCTGATCCACCAGTGATCAGAAGCAGATCTCTGTTTTTCCCATGTGCAACCCATTATTGGCTTTAAAAAGGACCTGCTTCCTTTAAAGTGGCCACTTCCTGCACAGGCCCTGAGCATTAGCATAACCTTAGCATCCCACCTTAATCCCATTTCACTGTCGGGGATGAAAGACTTCTTGTTTCTTCAGGGCCCCTTGCTTCACAGCCTGCATTTTTATCACCTCCAAAGGGGTTTCTGGTCTTTTCTTTTTTAAAAAATTCATCCTGGCTTATGGGTGCCAACTCTTTTCTGCCTGAGATATTAAAAGTCATCTCTCTTTTTAAAAAATGGGCTGAGTATCTTTTAAACAAAAGTTTTTGCTCCAGGTTGGAGAACTAATGCTGTGTTAAATCCACTTCCCGTTCTTTGCTTATTGGATCCCTCCTGGAGTGGTCTGAGAAAGGTTCCATGTTCCTCTGCTGCCACCTGCCACCTCCCAAGAGAGGCCAAGGTGGTGAGCCAAGGTGGACTACACCTCAGTTTCCCGGCCTCTGGAACAGATATTCAGAAGCCAATCACAGAACAGCACTTGAAGTGGCAGGGAGATTCCCAGGGGACAAGGACACCATGGACTGGCCTGAGGCCAGGAGGAACTGGTTGGAGAGTCCAAGGCTGTCTCCACTCTGTCCCCTCCTGCTGGCAGGAGGGCAAAATGCCATTCTGGGGACACAGCCATAATGGCAACAGGGGGTAAAAGTCTCACTGAGGCCAAGGGAAGGCGGAATGCGCCGGGAAGTCGGGAAAACTCCCTTTTATAGGCATGTTCTTTTCATTCATTTCCCCCCCCCCCCCAAGTTTACTCCCGGCGACAGTGCCCCCTTGAAGACATCAGCCCCGTCTGAGGTTGCCTCTAGCGTAGAGGGGTGCACCCGTAGACCCCTTCCCCCATCTGGCCTGCAAGTTGCATGACCTGCATCGGAATCCACAGGGGGGCGGGGGAGAATCCTTTCAGATCCTAGATGCGGCTGAATTCAATGCATTTTGCTTCTTCGCCTGCCCTCGTCCAAGCCCGGGGAGGAGAGTCCTGCTTTCTTCTTCGCGTGAATGCTGTAGTGTCTGCCGGCTGGAGCTCCCCTAACCCTTCCTTCTCCTCTCCCACAGCGAACGCCCAGCTTTTCTCTGCAAGCCGCTCACACTTGGCATCTTTTACATTTTATTTCATGTGTTATTATTATTATTTTTAAAATCCCTATCAAGGCAAAAAGCCGGGACGCCCCCCTCTCCTCAGACAGGATCTGAGCTCGTGTGGAAGGCTGCACCTGCTTTGCGCCTCTACCAGGAAGGGGTGCTTGTGTGGGAGGGAAGAAGGGAGGCTCTGCGCCCCCGAATCCGGAGCAAGCAGCCCGCCCGCCCCCTCACCCGGCAGCCAGCGCAGCGCACCCTAGAGCTGAGCCTGAGAAGCCGGCCTCTGACGGTGCTGGCCTGGCGATTGCCAAAAAAATGCCCCTTGCATCTCAATGTCCCCGCCTCTCCGTTGGCATGCACCCCTCGCCCCGGGCCACCTCGGCTCTGCAGCGTAGCCTGTTCGGCGCTCGTCCCTGCCTTCTCCGTTCCCTGTGTGCCCAAGGCTGAGCACAAAACCCGCCGCCCAGAAGGCGCAGTGGGCGCCGGGGCACCAGCGCGCCGTGCCCTGCAGTCCCCGCCCGGCCGAGTCCAGCTCCCTGACTCCTCGATGGCCGAAACGCGTGTCATTCTGATCCAGGTCTGCGCGTCCCCGGCTCCGCACGCCTCTCCGGGATTCCCGTGCGCTCTCTGTGCCGCTCGGCGCCGTCCGCGATCCTGCGCCCCCCACCCAGCCACGGGAGCGCTCCTCAGTCACCTCGGCCGCGTTCATTTCACTTCCTCCCGAGGTCGAGACTGCAGCAAAACCCGGCAGCGCGAGGGCCAAAAAAAAAAAAAAGTGGAAAGGAGAGCTCCTTTCGGGTCTCGTAGCCAGCTTGGCCAACTCTCCCTCCCCAGCGCCGACCCTCGCAATCCCAACTGCAACTTTTCCCCTTCTGCCTCGGTTTCCCCGGCCTGCGGCGTGCGGGGCGCCGGGCCGTGAGGCGTGGAGCGGGCGGGCGGCTGCGGGTGGCGCGCCGGCGAGAGAGCTGCTAGCCGGCGAGGGGATGGGTGGGGGGGGAAGGAGGAGGGAGAGGCCAGGCGGGGAGGGGAGGGGTGTAGGGAGGGGAGGGGGGGAGATTCCGCTCTCCTGCGGCTCCCAGCCCGAGCAGGGGGCAGGGGAGGAGGCCGCGCGGAGGGACGGGAGGAGGGAAGAGGAGGAGGAGGAGGAGGAGGAGGGAGGGAGGGAGGGAGGGAGACGAGGAAGACGCTCCGCTAAGCCGTGCGTTTCGTAAGGCTCGGAGCACTTGCACATTTCTGCAGGCGCGCGGCGAGCCCTTCGCGGCGGCTGCTGCAGCTTGGACTGCGTCCTCCTCCTCTTCTTCTTCCTCCTCCTCCTCGTCCTCCTCCTCCTCCTCGTCCTCCTCGTCCTCCTCGTCCTCCTCGTCCTCGTCCTAGTCCTCCTCCTCCTCCTCCTCCTCCTCCTCCTCCTCTTCCTGCTCCGGGTGTGTGCCTGTGTGAGTGTGTTTTGCAAGGTGTGTCCGTTTTAATTCTGCCCAGTAGGTGGGACTTGGTGACTTTAGCACCATTTTTCCTTTTCTTCTCCCTTCACATTTATTATTATTATTATTATTTATTGTTATTATTATTATTATTATTATTATTTTGCCTCCCCAACGTCTGTTGCAACGCTGCTGCAAAGTCTCGGAGTCGGAGAGCGTGCCTAGCTTCCGGAGCCCCTGGACCCCGCCAGCCGGTGAGCGCCGAGCGGGCCACCATGCCCGGCAGACCGCGCGACTAGGCGCTCCCGGCGGCTCCCACCCGGCGGCGGCCGCGATGGTTTCAGACGCTGAAGGATTTTGCATCTGATCGCTCGGCGTTTCAAAGGCAGAGGCCCCCTCCCCCTCCCCCTCCCTCACTGTCTTTGTTTCCTCCCCCCTGCTCTCCCCACTCCCCCACCCCACCCCCCTCTCCTCTCCTCCTCCTCTTTTTTAGAAGCAGTGATCGGAGATGGATGTCTCTCTTTGCCCAGCCAAGTGTAGTTTCTGGCGGATTTTCTTGTTGGGAAGCGTCTGGCTGGACTATGTGGGCTCCGTGCTGGCTTGCCCGGCAAATTGCGTCTGCAGCAAGACTGAGATCAATTGCCGGCGGCCGGACGATGGGAACCTCTTCCCCCTCCTGGAAGGGCAGGATTCAGGGAACAGCAATGGGAACGCCAGCGTCAACATCACGGACATCTCAAGGAATATCACTTCCATGTAAGTCAAGCGGCCGCTCCTCAGTCCGCCTCCCCCTCGCTGCTCCGTGTTCCGCTCTCCTCCCGCGGCCCGGAGCCGGCCCTAGTCCGCCCCAGCTCGCCCCGGCTCGCCGCTGCCCACCGCTGCCCGCCGGGCGCGCGCCAGGCTCGCTCGAGCTCGGGACGCTCTGGGCTGCGGAGCCCAGGTGACGCCGGCCCTTCCAGGCGTGATCCGAGGATGCTGGCGGGTGACTCTCCCGGGAGAGGACCCTGGGCGGCCCAGGACACCAGGGGCCTAGCTCCTGCCTCCGCCCCCCACCAACTACCGCCTCGTTTCGAGGGTACAAATGAGGTTCTTTGCCCCCCACGAAATAGCAACAGTTTGGCCACGCTCAAGTGGAATAAAGTAGACCAGACTGGATTCCCTAGCTGAGGCGGAGGAGGCAGCGCTTAGCTGGGAGGGAAGGTAGCAGATAGGGACTGCTCTGGATCCACCCGAGATGCTTTAACTGTTTCCTTTTGGAGACAGCAAAACACGCTGTCAAGTAAACAAGTTGGGAGCTGGCTGCTCGCGGGGAGACTTTGGACGTGTCCAGGCCGTCATGGACGCCTGCCTCTTCCCTTTCCCTCTCGCCCGCCGCCCGCCCTCTCCAGCCCCGTTTTGGGCATTTCCCAGACCTCTCGCCTTTCCCACCCTCGTCGCATCTGGGCGCCTACAGATCCCTTAACTGCTTCGGATAACTCAGAGTCCCAATAGTGAAGGGAGAGGAGAGGGCGTGCATTTGGGGAAGGGGCTTCCAAGATCATGCAGATCCATCTATGTATTTGGCAAATTGAATTCTGGCTGCCTTTTGCCTGGTTCTGTCCCTTCTGAGTGGGACCTGTGATGGCTTGGTCTTTTCTTCATGATGTTTTTCTTCTGTAGGATTGGTGGTGAGGGGGAAGAGGGCAAGAGCTCAGGGCACCTGCCCATCCTTTCTTTCGGTGACCCCCTCCACCCTGCCCCGTGGTGAAGGGGTAGATGGCATGCGTGTTCAGAGGATCACTCTCCCTGTTTCCCGAAAGGCCCCTGTCCTTCGGGAACCTCCAGGAGTGGGAAGGCTGCTGAGGAAGGTTTGCTCTGGCAGGCAGGCCAGGGTCTGAGGGAAGCACCTCATAGGCAGGAGGCGGAAGGTGCCATTGCACAGCTCACCCAGCCTCAGCCCTCCCTTTGCTTGAGCCAGGTGCGATGGGGCTGTGAAGCCTGGAGGAATTGCCGCTGTGCTCTCTGGAAAGTCCGCCGGCCCTCTTGGCTTAATGGAGACTGCTTCTGTTCTTGTCGCTGACAGTTTGAGGGAAATGGACAGCCCAGGAGATGTCCCCGACTCCTGGTTCAGGAGAAAAGCTTGACCCATCTCTCAGCTGTGCTGTCCACCCCTCACCACATTCAGCCTGGCCGGGGATGACAAGACAAACAGCTGGTGTAGAAGGGGAGGGCAGGGCCAGGAAAAGCAGGATGAACCCAGCAGTGGTACCCGTCCCTGCAGGCCACAGCATCCAGCTTCCCCAAGGATGTAGGGAGGAGATTATCAGGGAAACTCTGGCTTGGAAGTGCACCCTCTGGGGGGCTGTGTGTGGAGGGAGCTTAGTGGCTTAGTGGCCAGTCTCGGTCCTCCTGAGCTGGACCTAGGGATGTCCAGGGGGTGGAGTAGGCTGGGGGTTGGAGTGAAGATGCCCTACGTGCCCACTGAGAGTCCCTGGAAGCCCAGGAGCTGCATCCAGCTTGTTGTCTGGTTCAGGGACTTGTGTATCTGTCGGAAGCCAGTGGGAGGCAGGGAGGGTCACAATCACCAGATAGGCTCTTTACTGCCATGCAGAGGTGTTGCTTCTTTGAAAACCAGGCTTGGGGAAGCAGTTTGATGGGGACAGTTGGGCCTGTCTTTCCAGGCTGTTGGGGAGTGGAGGGGATTGGGTGGCCTCTTGTCTTCTATGCATTAAAGGATCCCAGGAGGGAATGTGGGGAGAGAGAAAGGAGGGAGTGGGTTGGAAACCCTTCTGTGTGTGTTCCCATTCTTGGTTCAGGACTTGGGCCCTGGCAGGCCATCAGGACTCTTCCCTAAATCCACCTAAACCCCAGCATGAAAGAGCAAGGGAACTGGATTCCCACAAGAGCTGTGGGAATGGCAGGTGGTGAAGAGCCAAAGGTCATGGGCCAGATGACCCTTCCTGACCCATCTTCTCCCCAGTGCCCTGTTATATCTGTGGCTCGTATTGACTGAACTCAGGGAAGGACCCAGCCTTCTACTCTAGACTTAGAGAGCCCAGCAAGGAGGGGCATCACGTTGACTTTGTGGAGAGCCATGTTCTGAGCCTGTGTTATCCCAAGGAAATGGAGGCACCAGGGGTGAGGCAACTCTCCCTAGGCACATAGCCCCAGGAGTGGAGCCTGGCTTAGGACTCTGGTGTGTCTGGCACACACCCCTGGGTCTGCCTGCAGGAAGGAGGACCTCACCTTATCCTGGCCTGGAAAGGTCTTCTTCAGATTCATGGTTTCCAGAGATAAGAGGTATAGGGAGCCCTGTGCCTATCAGCCTGAAGCTCTATGTCTGCCCTGGGGTGCTGTTTGGGTAGATTTTGGGGAGGAAGATGCTGGGGGCCCCACGGTCCAACTCCTGTTCCTCAGGAGGATCTAGGGTCCCTGCCTCAGGTGCTAAACTGATTAAGCCTGAGTTTTCAGAGGGACAAGGCTATGTCGTTGTGGTTCAGCTTCTCGGGGTAGTGCGTGGAGCCTGGCTGAGGGATCAGAAGGACATCAGCTGTAGGGCATGACAGCAGAAGTGTGGGTCTCATCTCCACCCCTGTTGGAGCCAAGCTAATCCAAAGTCCTCCCACTCCCTTGGCCTCTTTGCCTAGAAGGTCAATCCTTTTGCCATTGGAGCTCTTGATACAAGGTAGCCTTGCCTAGGAAAGGCCATGCATGGCCACACCCAGCCAGGCTCTGACGTCACAAAGGCAGGAGGGTGGTGGCTAGGATGGTGGGCTGTCTGGGTGACCTCTCCAGTCCAGGCCTGTGGGGCTGGGTTGGAATGGTTTGTTAGAGTAATGGCTGTTAGAGAGAAAACGGAGCAGGAGAGGATGACGTCTCAGCCAGGTGTTCTTGGGCCTGGCTGTCTGGGCTTGTAGGGATCCTGGGTTCTTGCCTGAGATGCCAAGCTGAAAGCTGGATGTCACTCTGAGCTGCCACAGAGTCCCTGGTGTTTGGCAACTGTCTAGTACCTTTATTTCCCCTGCTATTCCTGAATACTATCTCTGGCTGGCGGAAGGGTCACTTGGGGCTTTGGCTGCTATATGCAGCCTTGATTCTCTGCCTTTCTAAGGATCAAGGGGAGACCCAGCCTGGACAATTACCAATGAGAACTGGGGTCCAGCAAAGTGTGAACCAATCCCAAGGGGTCAGAGGCTCAATCAGGGGGCTTAGGTAGGTGCTCAGAGACCCAGGATCAGGGGTAGGCCAGTGAGGTAGGCATAGACACGAGGGGTCTTTGGGATGAGATTTGGAAGAGAAAGTGGTTACAGCCTCAGGAAAAGAGATGCTTCCGGGATGAAAGCTGGGGACACTTTACCCCACTGGTCTTGTGGTTTTACCCTGAGGCAGGGCTGTTGATCCACAGTCCCCAGCCCTGGCAAACCCAGCAGGTCCAGTCTCTGCAATACCCTCTGGGACCAAAGGCATCAGCCTTGGAGCTCCTGGGACTTGAAAACAGAGCAGCTTGGGACAAGACCAGCCGAGACTGGCCATGGCTTTGAGAGTAGGTGGATTCTGGCCTTAAGAGGGCTGTGTTGGAGCCTTGGGATCTTGCAAGGCCCTGGCTGCCCTCTGACCTGGCTGAGGTGGAATGTGGTGTGATAGGAAAGGGCAGGTGGGGTGTGTAGGTGGCCAGTGGGCCTCCCTTGGATGACCCTTGCCAGAATGGCTTGAATTCCCTGCTCCAGCGGCCCATTGAGCAGCTCTTAATGGTGTTCATAGACTCCATGTCCAGGCTCTTCTTGGGGCCTCCAGGTGGCTAGTGGTAGACCAGAAATAGGAAAAGGGTTGGGACATATGAGGTACATCCTGGCTGTGTCCCTGTCCCCCTTGAGCTGTATGAAAGGGCTGTAGCCTTTCCAAGCTTGTAAATTCAACCATGAATTGAGGCCATGGTGCAGAATGTCTCTTTCAACCTGGACATCTGCCATCCAGGGCCCAAGAAACCTCCTTCTGGAGGCTCAGCCAGGCCACTTCTAAAGGTCCCTTCTTTGGGATTGTGGTGACCCTTAATATGCTACTGGAAGGAGGTAACAAGGTACTCCCCCTGGCCAGGGGCCACTAGCCATTTCCCTCTTCTTTTCCTTCCCTCCTCTAGAGAACTAAGGCCACCCAGAATTTGTGACACATGACACAATTTGGAGTCAACTTCTCAGACAAAGTGCCACACTTAGGAACATTCCAGGCCTGCAGCTTCTCCTCATAGACTTGACACAGACCTACATGACCCTGCATTCTGTCCCCTGGAGGAGATGTCCCCTGCACAGGTTTTAACCCTTGTTGGAGCAAGGGTTGCTGCTGAGTGTGAGAATAAAACATGAGAACTTCTATTTCTAAGTATTCTTACCTAGAAAAGGGAATATTTAATATTTAATGTATGGATTGAAGATATCTAAGCATATAATTTAATAAATATGAGTGTTTTGGGGTTGCAAGATAAATTTTTTATTACTAAATCATGCATAATCAAAGCAGCATGGTGCCTCTGTTCTTGTGTTTGGAAAGCTCTGTGCTTGAGAGGGAGATGGGTGGGACAGGAGAGGTGAGCCTCAAGGCCCTGCCCCAAGGAGGATTTGGTGAATTAGGTGGTGAGTAGGAGGGATCAGGCTAGACTGAATCAGGTAGGGGATCCCAGCTCCCCATCAGGATTCCCAAGGTCTGCAAACCCTCCCTATCAGCTCTCAAAAGATAGCCTTCTAGTACCCTGCCTTTTCTCCTTGTGTTGTAAATTTTTCATCTCCATGGATGCCTCCATCATTCAATTTCTATCAGATTCCCAGTTTATGGTTGTTGAGTTTGTTTTTGCAAAAGCTACTTGAAGTACATAAGCAGAGCTTATTAGGCCCATTTTACAGATTCACTAAACAAAATCAAGAACCAGACTAGAGTCCCAGGGGTCAAGTTGCAACGGTTCCCCAGTGGAAAAGTCCAGAGGCTCTGGGGGAGTCTGCAGCTCCTCCTCCATTGGCACCATACTCCCTCGGGCTGTGGCCTTTTGGACAGACATCCAGTGGCTTATTGGGAAGGGAAGTATGAGCATTTTAATCCAGAAAGTTCTTTTTCTTCCAAAGGGCAGCATTCCAGGAATAACCCATCTAAGAGGGGCTTGTGGAGGTGGTTAAGTGTCTTGGCAACTGGTTGAAGAGTAGCCCAGATGGAGGTTGGACTCAGTCACCTCGATCTGTTGGTGACCAACTGAGCCATCAGCTCAAGTGATTTGCATTCCTAAGCCCTGCTTGTCTCTACTTTGGGAAATGGAAATGCTTCCAGTGTCCAGGCCCATTGCAGGTCCTTTCTCATGGGTTGGGCATCAGCAGTAAGGATTCCAGTGAAGCCCAATGCAGAGCTCAGTGTCCAAGGGAGTCCTTAGAACCCCCAAGGACAATCCCAAGCTTCTGCTATACCTAGGTGCAGGGCTCACAGAGATTCAGAGCTGGAGGACACAGCAGCAAGCATGTCCTCCTTTGTTCCCCTTGAGGGTCCTAAGGCTTGAAAGCGCAGGGACTCAGTGGGATCCCCAGAGACTACTCTTACCAGGCACACTCACAGTGCTGGGGTGGCCTCCAGGTCCACCCTGGTTCCTGTTGGGGCACTTTGTCAGAGCCAGAGCCTCTCTCACCTCTGTGTCTCCCTCTGGGGAGATATTTCCAAATTCGGGGTCCCCAGAGGCAGCAACTCTGTAAGGTTGGCAGGCCCTGGGCGCCTCACAGCTTGCAGCCCACACCAACTAGAAAGGAACACAGTAAAGGTTTCTGCTGAGCTATTTACATATGGGGCTGGCAGATCTGTGGGTGCAACAGGCCTGCAAGTCTGGGGAGCCTCCCCTTCCTCTCCTCTGTCCTTGCTCCCCCTGCCTAACTTATCCCATCAAAAGGGTTCTGGGTGGTGGAAGATTCTTGATTCCTTTCCCAGACAGACATTGTCAAGTCTGGAGACTCTGGCAGCTTCTCTCTTTCTACACCCCATTTTCCAGCTGCTTCTCCTGGCCACGGGCCTCCATTTCCTTCTCTTTAAGATAAGGGTAACATAACAACTACTTTATATATCAGTCTTTTGAAATTCAGCATCCAGTGTCATTCCTGGCATAGAGAAGGCTGTCGATGCATGATAACTCATAATAGCTAGCATTTATTGAGTACATAATAACTAATAACTAGTATTTATTAAACATGTGATAACTATAGGACTTATTGAGTATATGATAGCTGATAACAGCTAGCACTTATTGAACACTTATGACATTCCAGACACTGTTCCAAGCACTTTAAGGGTAATATCTCATTGTGGGCGCACACCAGTCTGTGAGTTAAATACTTTCATTAGCATTATTTCAACAATGGCGAAACTGAGTCCAGAGAAAGAACTTGGTTTGCTTGCTTTCACACAGCCAGTAAGTGCTAAAGCAGTTTGGCACTTAAATATTAAGCTATATTGTGTATTCTATTCTTTCTTGGTGTATTCCTATGCATACTAACATATACATATATATTCACACATACACATGTATACATATATATGAATATAGTGTTATTATGATAAATTAAGAATAAAAAGGATTGATACGGAGGTAGGAGAATCTTGTATTTTGTGTCATTGTGGTTCCTGGGGTGAGAAGTGTCCTGGCTGGAGCTGGGGGAGCTGCAAATGGGATAATTATGGGTCTGGTGTTGGCCAAGCAGTGCTGGCCAGCACATCCCAGGCTGGCCTGATAGTGGAGGAGGCTTTGGTCTCTCCTCCTGACCTGTTCCCAACATGCAGCCCTCCCTGTCGCTGTGTCTTAGCCAAGCCCTCTCCCAGACCTCCTTGCCCAGCCTGGGCTGTCCTGGCCTTTGAGGTCGGGTCAGCCGCATAGAAACCCAGGTGCCAGCTGAGGCTGGCAGGGATTCAGGAAGCTGGTGGCTGGGTCCTAGCCAGCTGCATTCTGGGCAGAGGCGCCGTCAGCAGGACAATGCCCCTCACTGCTTGTGGCTTCTCCCAGCTAGGGCTATCCTTGGATGTGAGCAGAAGGGGGGCATCCAAAGTGCTGTGCGGCTAGAGTTGGAAGCTGGTGTTCAGAGCATCTAACCTAAGGGCAGTTTCCAGATTGTCCATGCCACTTGCAGAATAAGCAGCCCTTACTTCCCACCCTTCCCTCTCGCCCCAGCTCTCTGCCTGCTTGCTCATGGAAGCTCCATCTGTATCTCCATAGGGAGGGCTCTGAGCATGGCAGGTGACTACAGCTGTCCCCATGGAGAGCCGGAGTGTCTTTTGTGTGCAGGCCCCATGGTTGCTGCTTCCTGGCCATGTGAGTTGGCCATGTCATACAACCTCTCTTGGCCTCAGTTTTCACTTCTGAGAGTTGGCATCATGTCACTGTCCAGCGTGCCTCCCTCACACAGTCCCTGGTCACTGTCGAATCAGTGTGATGGTATACTTGATGAGCTGTGTGAACAAGTGGGTGCCATGTTGGTTACTCCCATTTCTAAATGACCAGGAAGATTTTGAGCTAGGAAGATGAACCATAAACCATTAGATTTGGAAAGGGGCTTGGAAATCATCTGGGCCAGGTCGAGTATTAGAGGAAGAACTTCAGGCTTAAGAGAGATGAACTGATGTGGCCCACTCACCCAGGGACTATGTCCAGCCTCTCTGGCTGGCTGGGTCCCCGACCTTCCCCCCATCCTCTGGTGTCT